GTCATTGCATGTTAACTAGTGAGTTCTCTCTTCACAGATTACAAGGCTATGAGGTTTTTGAATAATCAAAGCACAATAAAAGGCAAACATCCTTCTTAAGTTAAATAATTTGAGTCGTTCCAATTTGTTCTCAGGCACAAGAAGTCAAAAAACGAGTAGTAGATGCCTTGAGTCGCCGCAACTTATTGATCACTTCCATGCAAGCACAAGTTGTGGGTTTTGAGATCGTGAAGGAGACGTATGAGGCAAATGAGGATTTCAGGGAGATCTAAGAACAGTGCCAGGAAAAAACTACAGGGAAGTACCATCGAGTTGATGGCTAACTGTTCCGTCAGAACAAGTCATGTATACCTAAATATTCGCTGAGAGAGTCCATCATTCAAGTGAGTCACACCAAGAGATTAACATGCCACTTTAACAAAGACAAAGACCCTCGCATTGGTGAAGGAATTTTTTTTTTTTTTGGCCCAAACTGATGAAAGATGTGAAGTGAAAAGTCAGACAATGCAAAGTGTGTCACCCGGACAAAGTAATACAGAACTATACACACCCTTACCAGTACTAGAGGCTCATTGAGTGGGATTTTGTGGTGGCTCTTCCAAGAACGCGGCTGAGCAAGGATTCATTCATGGTCGTGGTTGGCAGGTTCTCATAAATGGCTCATTTCGTGCCTTGTCTCCAGACATCAAATGTATCATATATAGCTAATTTGTACATCAAGAAAATCGTCAAGTTGCATGGGATAGCGAGAACCATTAACTTTGATATGTACGTCAAGTTTCTGAAGCACTTCTTGAGAATCCTATGGGGGAAGCTGAGTAATAAGCTATAATTCAGCTCAGCAGCTCATCCGCAAATAAATGGTCAGACAAAAGTGATGAACAGGAATCTAAGGAACGTCCTAAGGTGCTTTATAGGAAAGAATACCAAACAATGAGACATGATTCTAGCCCAAGTCAAATTTTCCAATAACAGATCCATGAGTCAACTATGGGATGTACCCCCTTTCAGTTGTGTATGGGCATAATCCACTCACTTCACTTGAGCTAATACCAATCTTCCTACGTCGGAAGTCTGTGCAAATGCCAAGGCGAGAGTATAGTAGATTCAAAAGTTATGAGGTTGGGAAAGAGATCACAAACAGAATCACAAGTATCAAGCCCAAGCTAATAAAACTAAGAAGACAACTTTTCAAGAAGGAGATCTAGTGTAGATCATACTGAAGAAAGAAAGATTTCCTCCATGATTGTTCGGAAAACTCAAATCTAACAATGCCTACAGGATCGACTTGCCAAGGGATTACAACAATTGAACTACCTTCAATGTGGTTGATTTGACTCCATACTACAAGGAAACATGAGTGTCGACGAATGAGGTTGAAGCTCCCCAAATCCCAAGAGATTGATGCGGACATGAATCCCTGGACTGGGTGCGGGAACCTACGGCGAGCCCTGAACTAATTCAGATGAAGAGAGGGGGTTTGACCGTCTCTCCTTAGTGCTTAATTTGTCACCCATAAGAAATGGGCCACTCATTAGTTACCTAATAGTATTTATGTGACGCCTCTTTCATCTTCCCGAGGGAGTCGAAGAGAGGGAGATGAAACGAGCAGTCGGAAAACAAAAGGGTACTTTCATTCTATAAACCAATGTGAGACGGAGGCAAGATTAAGATACTTCGTGGTAGAAGTTGACCTTAACGACTTACCAAGGGAGTTGATCGACAATCGACAAGGGCGACAAAGTTCGCAAGAGCATCAAAATCGATAGCTAACGAGGGCAACAGTGTGGGAGGTCGGCGTCGAATGCACGCACTGTAAGTAAGAAGCAGTCGAACGAGGAGGAAGGTTATTGTGGTTTTTCTTTCACTGTTGTTTGAAGCCCCTGCACTTGACTGATTCCTAGCAAAAGAGAGGAAGGAGCTCTCACGCATGCGGGTGAGAGTTAGATCTCGAGTGCAGATGAGGAAGAAGAAAGGAGGTCCCGCATTTAATGTTTCAACAATGACATTAAATGGTAGGTTTAATATTTAATTAGGTTATAGAATACAATTATATATATATATATATA